AACGGGAGATGCGAACAATTCTCCATTCCGAATCTCTCTAAAACTTTATTAATATATGTTTTCTCGAGACAAACCTAACGAATCCTTGTGATCTATCACTGAATATTTCTATTCCTATCACATAGTATGCCTCACCCATATCTTTCATTTCAAAGTTGTTAGAGAGAAACTTCTTAGTCTCACTTAATAGACCAAGATCATTAGTCGCAAGCAAGATATCATCAACATACAGAATCAGAAATATAAACTTGCTCCCACTGACCTTCAGATATATACACCGATCAACAGTGTTTTCCTTAAATTCAAAGGATAAAATAGTATCATTGAACTTAAGATACCATTGTCGAGAAGCTTGTTTAAGTCCATATATTGATTTCTTAAGTTTACACACCATATGTTCATTTCCTTCTTCAATAAACCCCACTGGTTGATTCATATAAATATCCTCTTCTAAATCTCCATTCAGAAAAGTAGTTTTAACATCCATTTGATGCAACTCAAGATCATAATGAGCTACTAATGCCATGATAATTCTAAAGGAATCTTTCTTAGAAACAGGTGAAAATGTTTCCTTATAATCAATGCCGTCTTTCTGAGTAAAACCTTTGGCAACAAGTCGGGTCTTGTAACGTTCGATATTGCCATGAGAGTCACGCTTAGTCTTAAAGACCCATTTACATCCAACACTCTTACATCCTTCTGGCAATTCCACAAGATCCCATACACCATTATGTGTCATTGATTTAAGCTCATCTTTCATAGCATCTAACCATTTGTCAGAATTATCACCATTAATGGCATCTGAAAATGAAACTGGTTCATTATCAATACTTAGGTCATTTTCTGACTCTTGTAGATAAACCATGTAATCATTCGAAATAGCAGACTTTCTTTCTCTGTGAGATCTTCTTAATACTATTTCCTGTGGTTGTTCTATTATCGGATCATTGTTAATCGCAGGATCATTAATTTGTTGTTCTTCTTGATTGTCGTGTGATTCTACAACATTTGGAACAACAACTCTTGAAGATGTACTAGTTATTGGAACTTGTACCCTAACTTCCTTAATCTCCACATTTCGTGAAGCTTCACTCCCACTGGCTTCACCATTTTCAATGAACCGAGCATTTCCAGTTTCAAGAATTCTTGTACTATGGGTAGGACAGTAAAACATATACCCTTTTGATTTTTCTGGATAACCAATGAAATATCCACTGATTGTTCTTGCATCCAGTTTCTTTTCTTGCGGATTATAAATTCTTACTTCTGTCTGACTACCCCAAACAAGCAGGTGTCTCAAACTAGGTTTCCTACTTTTTCATAACTCAAAAATCTTTTTAACAACTTTACTAGGAACTCTGTTCAACAAATACATGATAGTCTTTAAAGCATACATCCATAATGATACAGGTAAACATGAATTACTTAACATACTCCTAACCATATCAAATCATAGAAGTACGCTTAAACAAACTGAAACAACCATTCCCAAACTTAAAAGAGTATCCAACAACATCAAGCTTAGACAAATAAACTAAATTTCTAATGATACTAGGTACATAAAAAGTATCCATAAGGTCTAAGTGATATCTAGTGTCAAGGATTAAACGATAAGTCCCGACAGCTTCCACTAGAACCTTGACTTTATTCCCCATGAAGACGAACTTCTTATTTGGGTTTATGGTTCGGGTTGAAAGGAATCCTTGCATTACATTAGAAACATGAGTCGTACATCCAGAATTAATCCACCAAGTATTATGGGGAACTTCAGTTAAATTTGATTCAAAACATACATAAGCATCAGTGCTCACCCTTCTTTTCGAACCAAGCTTTACGCTTTAAACAATCCTTCGAAAATGTCCAGACTTCCCTGTAGAAATGACATTTGTCATTTTTCTTTTGAATGTTAGTAGAGGACTCGTTAATCTTTAATGGTCATTTACCCTTTCCATGTTTCTTAACAATTTTCTTTTTAGCTCCTTGATTTTTCACGTAATGAATAGAGTGGCTTCCTAGGTTCTTGAGTCCGGTCTCCTCCCGAACTAACATATTGTGCAATTCATGCACATTCCATTTGTCTTTCATGGTGTTATAATTCATCCGAAACGGACCATACTCAAGCAGTAACGAGTTCAAAATGAACTCGCACAAGAAAATTTTCTTCCACTCGCCATTCCAAGAGACTTGAGTCTTGCTGCGATATTTGTCATTTCGATTATATGTTCATGCATACTACGAGAACCATCAAACTTCATGGTGATCAACGTACTCATCAATGTCCCAGCGAGAGATTTGTCAGCAGTTTGAGAGCGCTCTTCCACAAATTTCATAAATTCTTTCACGTCCTTAGTTTTGGAAAAAGCATACTTAATATTGCTTGCAATACTCATTCGCATAAACATAAGACTAAGTCTGTTTGACCTTTTCCAAACTCTATAATGAGTTTTCTCTTTGTTGCTACTAGCATTAGTGATAGCAGCCGGTTTTTCAACTTGGAAAGCCAAATCAAAATCCAACTCACCTAAGTGAAATTGGACTTTCTCACTCCAGTCAGGGAATTAAATCTATTAAAGACTGGAACAGACGAAGTAAGCGAATGTAGAAATATATAAACAAATATTTCAATTAACACATGTCTAACATTAACGCTTTGAGTCATAAAAACTAAACATAAATACAGATTCAAACATAAATAACCATTCTATGCATACTAATGTTCTCCTTTGGGAGATCCACTAATACACAAACATAATTACGCTAATCTTTTTATAACATTAATGATAATTAAAATATGCATCAACTAGAATCACTTAATACCTTTGGGTATATAAATAAAACTAGTGACGCACACAAAATTATCTACTTTCATGTTCATTAATGATAATAACAATTAATCAACCTTTGGGTGATCCTGAAATGCCTTATAATAATGAACTTCAATTAACCCATAAATCATTATTCATAATTTTAGCATTCATACTATAGATAATTGAAATAAAATCACTAATAATTTGAAATCAAAATAACCTTAAAATTTTGGCCACTTTAGTGACTAACAAAATTTATCATGCTTAATTTCAAATAAATAACATCTTTAATTGCTATTAACCATTCATAGCATTTTTTTTATTAATTTTAATAAATATGTACATTATTCACATAATAAAATATTATGTGCCATAAATAAAATTAAAACTCATAATTTCAATTTTCATCCTAAGATTGATTTTCAATCCAAGACCTTTATTTGCATTTCACGTAAAAGTGAAATTGTCATCCATTCAAAACTTTTATGAGTAATTTAAACACAATGGAAACAATACAATTCAGTTTGCAAAACAAGATTCATTCATTTATCAATGTTTACATTATAGGTACATTAACAAAGCTTCACAAGACATTAACAAAACAAGTATATTAACAACCTTAACAAAGCTTCACAAGACATTAACAAAACATTATATTAACAACCTTAACAAAGTTTCATAGTACATTAACAACCTTAACAAAGCTTTACAAGTACCTTAACAAATTTACAAGTACCCATAACAAAGTTTTACAAGTACCCATAACAAAGTTTTATAGTACCCATAACAAAGCTTTACAAGTACCCATAACAAAGCTTTACAAGCACCCATAACAATATAGTACCTATAACAAAGCTTTACCGTACTCTACAAGTATGAGTATATTATACAACTCACTTTAACATAAAAATAACTCTTTAATTATCCTTCCCCCACATAAAAAAATATGTACGTACAAAATAATGTACAAATAATATGGGGACAAAATAATACAGGGGAAAATGACTTTAGCAATACCAATCACCAATATGTACATACAAAATAATATTATAAATAATATAATATAATATATGAAACATATGTGTTTAACACGTGCAAAGTTTATCAACTTTACAGTTTATCATTCTTCCATCATAATTATAACATCTCATCATAACATCTCATCATAATTATAACATACAATGAAACTAATTTCATACATGATTCATCCTAACCCTATCACGTCATTTGCCTTTTCAATTAGAAAGGATTACAGGGTCATTCATGCATAGGGACTATAAAATTGGTTTCAATTTGAACTTGAAAACATAATTAGGGTTTATTCCTTTATTTAATTTTGAGAAAAATAAAATTGGGAATAAATTAGGGTTCATACTAATCTGATAGAGAAATTCCTAAATTCATAATTAGTGGTTTATCTTAATTTGGGAAAAACATCATTTGAGAAATATTTTCATAAAAGGAAAATCATAAATCTAATAATCAGTGCTCGATACCACATGTAAGACATTATGTAGTTTTCCTACGTTCTTAATTCATTATAGAAAACTACTCTACAGGATCTTTAGATTATTGATTTTCACAATTTTACATACACCAATACATGAATCATAATAAGAAGACTAACCTTGATCCATGAGAATCTTTTCTTTGATCTTTTCGTTCTCCTATCTCCTTTTCCCAATCTATCTCTTTGTCTTTCTTTCTCTTCTCACGCTTCGCTTTCTTGATGGTTTATCGTGAAAAACTTTATGACCAGAGACAGAACCCTTATTCCATTTTATTAACCAACGTCCATCAAGTTGGTTAGCGTAATGTAATATTTTATTTTATCTTTATTTTATTCTAACTTCACATAATAACCAATAGGTCCTCATATTTTATTAAATCACATTTGGACCCATTATTATATTTCACATTAGTTACATAATGGAATGAATTAATTAAATTAATTCTAACAACTCACACTGGTGGGTAGAAAGAATCATTTTTCATTGGCTCTGAGCTTATGTCATATCCAAAAATTTGATTTTATTCTTTATATTTAATGTGAAGTATAGATAATAATTATTACCATCAAGAATAGAAAAACAAGACTTGAAATTGAGTTCTCGCTAAGGTGTATATACATTGAGTTGTTAATAAGAGGAGGTGGATATATTCCTTCTTTCCATAGTACTCGCAAGAAACCATTCAGTGCACAACATAACTCTTCAAAAGAAGATTTTCATAATATAACACATATTGAGCCTTGGCTTCTACAGTTTGAGTTGTGCTGAACCTAAGAAACACATAAATAGTGCATAACAAAGGTGATGCGTTCAACAAGTTTGTTAAGAGGATTCAATATCCTCCAAGTACAAATGGCGTACGCTCCCGCAGTGCAAATTACTGAAATGGACAAAACAATGGTGAAGAACCACATGATAAACTTGTTATGGAGGGAAACTCCACAGAGAAGTAGTATGATTGTGGTGAGAGATGCAGAGAAAGATACGGTGCATAACAGTATGAATATCTCATATTTTAACCATTGGTTGCTGCTACCAAAGACTAGGACTGAAGTACCTGCTTGGCAGATTTTACCAGCTTCACAACCTTGTTGGTCATCTGTTTTTGCTTGCCAAACACCCCCTGGAGGGTTTATGGCAATTTGGAAAGTCATGGTTGCAATAACTGTGGCCACCACCATTAGAGACCCTCTCTTATCTTCCATCCAATTACGCCCATCATGCCTTTCATTTCGCCCCACCATGCTTGTTCGTACTGACATTCCATCCATTGTTCAAATCTTTTATCATGAGATATTCATTTTATCAAATGGAAATAACAAGGACCATGCTTTTTTTTTTTTGTTTTTCTTCACGCTTCCATATATATAATATTAGTGGAAGACTTCTTCGGGGCAAGCCTGGTCATAATGAGTTAAAGAATGTACGTTTTCTGTGAAATTTCCGTCATGTAGATAATTTCTGGGTTTGGTTTTATGTGTTTGGATTAGAGAGTCAGGTTTTTATGTAATAGATATTCATAATCAAAGCCATGTTTTAACAAGGTGTTAAATTTCAGGAGCTGGAGAAAATGGCGAGCATGCAAATGGGATAAATAAGTAATTTAATGGAAAGATGTGTTGGATATGTTAATTTATAATTTGTAATGTACTAGACATTGTATTAGTTTAAGTTGACCATAAAAAAATGATTTTCCAGAAATCAAGTTTCAATTTTTAAATTCCAACTTCCTCACAAAGTCACGTCTAAATAAGAGCCCATCCCCTCTGGCTGTCATAGTATATATATATGACTTAGATACAAATCCATCCCTTCTGACTCTCATAGTATATACTGCAGAGGGTTGAAGGTAGCTGTGACAAAAGACAAGAAAGTTATAGAAAAGAAAAAAATGAGCAATCTTATTACTTCTTTTTTTTCTTGATAATAAATAACACTTGATAGGTGAAAAATCAAACCTAGTTACAATGACGTGTAAATTGAAAGACATGCATACTTGCATGTTTATCTACTAACATTACACAACAAACTAAAACAGTGCAGGGGTAAAGAAGAAATCTGATATGCGATGCATGAGGATAACTAGATTGTTGGATTTTGTAGAACTTTAATTACTTTGTCACTCGATGCATTTAGTGAGAATCCAAACAAATAGGCGCAGGAAAAGGAAGATTGCGATGAGTACCAACAGTATCAACCACACTACAATAATGAGTCCGTACATGGTTAATAAATTATTCCAACCAGGGGCAACCATTTGTGCACCGAACAAGTAGGTTAGAGAGAGGGTGCTGAGGATGACGCACATCCCTATAGACAAGAGCCAGGTGAAAAACCGGTTTCTCAGAGGAAATCCACTCACAAGCAAGAGACAAACAGCTGAAGATGAAACGAAGCATATCGTGTTGCAGTAAAGGAAAATTTTATAGTCGTCTGGATAAACCAGAGCAAGAACAGATTGTCCAGGACATGACTGATTCTGGCATTTGACTCCATTATCCTCGTCTGGAGACAAAACGCCACCTGGTGGATTAATACCACTTTGAAAGGTCATAGTTGCAATTACTGTCGCCATCAAACTCAGCATTCCCCTCATGTCCTTCAACCATTCATTCTTGTCCTTGGGTGTCATCCAATTTCCTACACATTTCAAACCTTTTTTCCACCCTTCCATCTTTTCCCCTGACTCTCCTCCATTATTGCTCGCCATAGCTGATGGATCTTTCCTACCAAGCTAGCTTCAAGGAAGTTAACTGGTTAATTTGCATGTCACAATTTATTAAATTTTTAAAGAATTTAAGACGATAAAATCTAACGTAGTACTTACATTGACTTGCTTTAGTATTGCGAAATGAAATGCTCAAGTGAATCCTGAAATGTGCTTGGAAAGCAAGGCAAGGCAAGGCAGATATATATGGTTGCAAAATTGGTCATAAATCTGAAAAAAGAGGGTAGGTTGTGGGAATTTTCTTTATGTCGTTAATTGAAAATTGAGTATATAATCACACTTGCATGAGGCGGCGATGGTGGGGATATAATGAGTCAAGAATTTATATGTTCTGTGAAGTTTCCGTCACCGAGAGAATTCTGAGTTTGATTCCCCCGTGACATGATGGGTGAGTCAGAGTTTTGACGCAATAATGACACCTACTCCCAGTGTCTTATAGTATAACATATTAGATTCGTCGTAATCTTTTTCCCTCAACTTGTCAATCTTTTATAATCTTATCCCAACTATTTTAAATATTTCAAATTTTAATTATCTTTTCTAAGCAATTAACATTTTATGACATTTTTAACATCTATTAACAGTAATCTTGTAATAACTAATAAGTTTCTTTTTTTACCATGCTTATTATCATCTACACTTATACATATAAATTATGTCACTTTTCACAATTATTTTTAGTGTATATAATTTTTTTATTATTATTATTATTATGAAAATGATGTGACAAATATTTATGATATTGTTTAAGATACTCTTCAAAACTAGTCAATTGATGATGGCTTCTGAAATTGCGATATTTGTGAATATTTTAGAAACGTGCGGAAGTTTCGATGAAAATCTGCATCTCCAGAAACATTAATTTTTTTATTTATTAAATATTAATAATTAATATATTAGGTTTTTATTACTTTTGAAATATATCTTATGATTTTCGTTCTTTACACCCACGAAGTTTGGTGTAGACATGATAAGGGTGGCAGTGGAAAATGAAGGACAGTTCAAAGCATTATAGTTCACAAAAGAAAAAAATTGGATATTTTTTTATTTTTTAATATTTAAGTAATTAATTTTGAACAACTATTTTTAAAAATTACTCAATTAAAATATTTATTTAATAATTTTAATTTAAAAAGTATCTTAAGTAGAAAAAAAGATGACATCAATTTCAATAGAATCAAAATGTCTTCGACCACTGGATGATAATAAAATTAAAGATAAAATATATTTTTCATATAATATATATGATAAATATTTATATTTAACTTTATTAAAATATTTTATCTTATTTTTATAATATATTAATTGTTTTTTTACATTATCATTAAAAAAAGAGTTAGTTTTATATGATCTAAACCAATTGATGTTATATTAACATGTATACGTGGTTTTAATTAAAAAAAATAATTTCATGAAAGATGATGATTAATTATACATGTGTATGATTAAAATTCTCAATGATATAAATGATTTCTCTCTTAAAATGCACTTAAATCTACATACATAAGTATGTGAATGAACATTTAATCATCCACATAAACAAATTAACTACTTTTATAGCTGTAATGATTAAAAAATAATAAAATGATTAGTAATTTATGACAATGAAAAAAAATTATACTAAATATGTATTATATATCATAGTTATTGTATGAAAAATATATTTTATTCTAAGATGTTAAATGATATAAAATAATCACAAAATATGCATTTCATTAATTATGGTTTTTAAGTTTCTATTTTCAAAAATAATTTTAAGAAAATAGTTATTAAACAAATTCTTTTAATTTATAAAAATTAAAAAATAAAATTTATTTTAAAAATAATAAACAAAGAAACCTTACTTGTAAAAACTATCACTATTTTAAAAGTAATAATTTGAATGGGTGTGTTAAGTGAAAATAAAGATCATACCAACAAACTTTTGTTCATAATTACAATAGAATATGACCTTACCTTTTATTAAAATATTGTTTAATAATATAACATAATGTAAAACTATTTGCATAAACACAAATAATTTTAAATGGATTAAAAATATTATAAATTTTTGGAGTGTCACTTGTTATCAAAAGATTTTTTTAATCACGACAATATTTGGTTCTTAATAAAATTGTACTGTAAATTGGTTATTATGTCACTTTTACAATAAATTAAGGTAAAAAAAGAAAATGAGAAACTATAACACTGTTAAGTTCATATTTATTGTAATTATGACCAAAAAATTAGTTTATGTTTATTGTATAAGATGCAAAAGAAGTATATTTTATAAAATATTTAAACTGACTATTTTTCTTTAAAGGATTTAATAAATAAATAAATAAATAAATAATATTTAAGCTTAATTGTAAATTTTATTTTTAATTTATACTTTTGTGTAAATCCATTTCCAACTTTTGTTTTACGTATATTATCCAAATAAATTTTTAATGTATAAATTTTATTTTTCCATCAATGTGGCTACTAAACGAGGTTAACACTTTGTTGGTGATTTTTACTGTCACTTAACACACACATTTAAATTAATTACTTTTAAAATAGTGATAGTTTTTACAAGTATCAATTAATAAGGGTTTGTTTGTTTATTATTTTAATATTTTAAATTTATAAAAATTAAAAAACTTGTTTAATAATAAACTTTTTAGAATTATTTTTAAAAATAAATACTTAAAAACCATAATTAATAAAACCTATTTTTTGATATTTATTTATTTATTTTGTTAAGGTAAAATATATTTTTCATTTAATAATTATGAGAAATATTTATGTTCATTATAATTATTATTTATTTTCACATATTAGTAATCACCTAAGTTTAATCGTATTTAGTTTGTGTTGTATGAATCATTATTATTTAATGTACATGAGTGTCATTGAATAATAGAGAAGGAGGCAAAAATCTTAAATAAGAGGGTAAATTAGTTAATATATACATTAAAATTAATTATAAAATAAAAATAGTTCTTCAAAATTAATTATTAATTAAAAAAAAGCAAATATTCTATTTTTTCTTTTCTGAACTATAAATGCTTTGAACTGTCTTTCTCTTCTTCAACAGCCACCCTACTATGTCTACTTCTACTTCGTCCCTGTAAAAGGACGAAAATCATTAGATACATTCTAAAATAAATAAAAACTAATATATTAATTATTAATATTTAATAATAAAAAAACCATGAATGTCTCTGGAGATGGAGAGCAGTATCCCAGACCGAACATCGCTCAATTTTCAACACAAAAATTTCATCGAAACTTCCCCAGGTTTGTACTACTTGCCACTTTCTAAAAACATTCACAAATATGGCAATTTCAAAAGCCTTCATCAATTGACTAGTTTTGAAGAGTATAACTAATTAACTAACAGTATTTAAAACAATAACATAATAGTTCTTACAACATTTTCATAATAATAATAAAATTATATAAAAATTAAGTACACTAAAAATAATTGTAAAAAGTGATATAATCTAAATATATAAGTATAGATAATAATAAGTATGGTAAAAAAAGAAACTTATTAATTATTACAAGATTATAATTATTTTGAAAGAAATTATTTTAAATAAATACATTCAATAGATGTTTAAAAATGTCATAAAATGTTAATATTGTTTAGAATTTAACACAAATACTAAAAATAATTAAAAATTGAAATATTTAAAATAGTTGGGATTAAATTATAGAAGAGTGACAAGTTGAGAGAAAAACATTACAATGGAGACTGGTATGTTATACTATAAAACAGTGGGAGGGGATGCGGGCTCAGACAAGTGGTACTACTGAGTCAAAACTCTGACTCTGACTCACCAATCATGTCTAGTGGAACCAAACTCAGAATTTTCTACGTGATGGAAACTTCACAGAAAATATAAATTCTTAACTCATTATATCACCACCCTCGCCGCCCAATGCAAGTGTGATTATATACTCATTTACTAATTTATTATACAAATGCAAGTGTCCGCAAAACATTTTTTTCTAAGCCAATTTTCAATTAAGATCATAAAGAAAATTCCAGTTACCTACCCTCTTTTTTCAGATTTATGACCAATTTTGCAACTATATATACAAGCCTTGCCTTGCTTTCCCAAGCACATTTCTGCATTCACTTCAGCATTTCATTTTGCAAGAATATTCTTTCTTTCCTTCAGATACCGTGCTGAAGCAACTCCATGTAAGTACTACCTTAGACTTTATCGTCTTAAACTCTTCAACAATTAAATCAATTGTGACATGCAAATTAACCAGTTAATTTCCTTGAAGCTAGCTTATCAACTATGGCAACCACTATTGGAGGAGACTCGGGGAAAGAGATGAAAGGGTGGAGAAAAGCTTTGAAATGTGTAGGGAATTGGATGACACACAAGGACAAGGATAAGTGGTTGAAGGACATGAGGGGAATACTGAGTTTGATGGCGACAGTAATTGCAACTATGACCTTTCAAAGTGGTATTAATCCACCAGGTGGCGTTTTGTCTCCAGACGAGGATAATGGAGTCAAATGCCAGAATCAGTCATGTCCGGGACAATCTGTTCTTGCTCTGGTTTATCCAGTCGATTTTAAATTTTTCCTTTACTGCAACACCATATGCTTCGTTTCATCTTCAGCTGTTTGCCTCTTGCTCGTGAGTGGATTTCCTCTGAAAAACCGGTTTTTCACCTGGCTCTTGTCTATAGGGATGTGCATCGTCCTCAGCACCCTCTCTCTAACCTACTTGTTCGGTGCACAAATGGTTGTCCCTGATCTGCTTTGGGATGACATAACAACCATGTTCGGAAAGGTTATTATAGTGTGGTTGGTACTGTTGGTACTCATCGCAATCTTCCTTTCCCTGCGCCTCATTGTTTGGATTGTCACTAAATGCATATACAAACAAAGAAAAGTTCTACAAAATCCAACAATCTAGTTATCCTTGTATAGCATATCAAACTTGTTATTATTTACTCGTGCACTGTTTTAGGTTGTTGTGTAATGTTAGTAAATAAACATGCAAGTATGCATGTCTTTCAATTTACAAGTCATTGTACGTAGGTTTTATTTTTCACCTATCAAGTGTTATTATCAAGAAATAAATAATAATAATAATAAGTTCGCTCATTTTTTTCTTTTATGCAGTATAGTTTTCTTGTCTTTTTTTCATGGCCCTTTTTTAGAATTAATTTTAATTAATTCATTTTATTACGTGATTTATGTAAAATATAATGATGAGTCAAAATGTGATTTAATAAAATATAAAGACCTATTGAATATTATGCAAAATTAGAATAAAATAAAGATAAAATAAAATAAAAATTTAAGGTAACTCACTTGATGAACGTGGGTTAATGAAAGATGATTGAGGTTCTGTCTTCGACCATAAGGTCTTTTTCGTAATAAATCATCAAGAAAGTGTAAAAAGAGAAAGAAAGGTAAAGAGATAGATTGAGAAAAGGAGGTTGGAGTTAAATAATAAACTCTCATGGATCAAGATTAGTCTTCTTATTATAATTCACGTACGTTATATTGTGAAAATCAATAATATAAAGATATTGTAGAGTAGTTTTCTAGAATGAATTAATAACGTAGGAAAACTACAAATTAACTTACATGTGGTATCAGAGCATGATTTTTAGATTTATGATTTTCTTTTTATAAAAGTGTTTCTCAAATTATATTTTTCCCAAATTAAGATAAACCCTAATTATGAATTTAAGGATTTCTATATCAAATTAGTATGAACCCTAATTTATTTTCAAATTTATTTTTCCCAAAATTAAATAAAAGAATAAACCTAATTTATTTTCAAATTTATTTTTCCCAAAATTAAATAAAAGAATAAACCTAACTTATGTTTTAAGGTCGCGATCAATTTCAAATTGAAACCAATTTTATAGCCCCTATGCGTGGATGACCCTGTAATTGATTTTAATTGAAAAGACAAATGGCGTGATTGGGTTAGGGTGAATCATGTATGAAATTGGTTTCACTGCATGTTATAATTATGATGAAATGTTATAATTATGATGAAAAAAGGTAAACGATAAAGTTGATATTTTTATGTTTTTACTAACTGCTACTGTTAGTATGCATCATGGACTGTGCTCGCATAACACATTTGCATGTTCCTTTCTATTATGCATGATTATTATATGTTTTTTATAGTGAATAATTAGCAATTACGTTAGATCTACATATTATTTTGTCCACGTATAATACATGTAGTAAATGACTGTTGATAATGAACTGTCACGGGATGTGTCCAGTTTTACTTTACGTATAAATGAATGGTTGTTGTTGTTATGGGATGTGCCCGTTAATAAATGCCTTAGTTACAAATTTTGTTTTACAAACTGAATTGAATTATTTCCGCTAAATTGCGCATAAAAGTTTTGAATCGATAATTTCAATAAAATTAAGGTCTTAGGATTGAAAATTAATCCTATAATTGAAATTGAAATTATGAGATTCAATTTTATTTATGGCACGTAATATTTTATTATGTGAATAATATACATATTTATTAAAATTAATAATAAAAAAATGTTATGAATGATTAATAGCAATTAAAGATATTATTTATTTGAAATTAAGCATAATAAATTTTGTTAGTCACCAAAGTGGCCAGAATTTTAAAGTTATTTTGATTTCAAATTATTAATGATTTTATTTCAATTACCCATAGTATGAATGCTAAAATTATGAATAATTGATTTATGGGTTAATTGAAGTTCATTATTATAAGGCATTTCAGGATCACTCAAAGGTTGATTAGTTGTTATTATAATTAATGAACATGAAAGTAGATTATTTTGTGTGTGTCATTAGTTTTATTTAAATACCCAAAAGTGTTAGGTGATTCTAGTTTAAGCATATTTTAATTATCATTAATGTTATAAAATTGTTAGCGTAATTATGTTTGTGTATTAGTGGATCTCCCAAAGGAAAACATTATTATGCATATAATGGTTATTTATATTTGAATTTGTATTTATTTTTAATTTTTATGACTCAAAGCGTTAATGGTAGGCATGTGTTAATTGAAGTATTTGTTTCTGTAGCTCTACATTCGCTTTCTTTGTCTGTTCTTGTATTTAATGGATTAAATTTCTCTGACTAGAGTGAACAAGTCCAATTTCACTTAGATGTATTGAATCTTGATTTGGCTTTCCAAGTTGAAAAATTGGCTGCTATCACTGATGTTAGTAGCAATGAAGAGAAAACTCATTATAGAACTTGGGAAAGATCAAACAGACTTAGCTTTATGTTTATGCGAATGAGTATAGCAAACAATATTAAGTCTGCTCTTCCTAAAACTGAGGACGCGAAGGATTTTATGAAATATTTGGAAAAACGCTCTCAAACTGTTGAACACGTAATCGAAATGACAAATATCGTAGTATGCATGAACATGTAATCGAAATGACAAATATCACACCAAGACTCAAGTCTCTTGGAATGACAGTGGAAGAAATTTTTTTGTGCAATTTATTTTGAACTCGTTACCGTTTGAGTATGATCAATTTTAGATGAATTATAACACCGTGAAAGACAAATGAAATGTGCATGAATTGCACAGTATGTTAGTCCGGGAGGAGACTAGACTCAAGAATCTAGGAAGCCACTGTATTCATTACGTGAAAAATCAAGGAGCTAAAAAGAAAGTTGTTAAGAAACATGAAAAGGTAAATGACCATTAAAGATTAGCGAGTCACCCACTAACATTTAGAAGAAAAATGACAAATGTCATTTGTGCGGGAAGTCTAGACATTTCCAGAATGACTGCTTAAAGCATAAAGCTTGGTTCGAAAAGAAAGGTGAGCATAGTGTTTACGTATGTTTTGAATCAAATTTAACTGAAGTTCCCCATAATACTTGGTGGATTGATTCTGGATGTACGACTCATGTTTCTAATGTGATGCAGAGATTCCTTTCAACCCGAACCATAAACCCAAATGAGAAGTTCGTCTTCATGGGGAATAAAGTCAAGGTTCCAGTGGAAGCTATCGGGACTTATCGTTTAATCCTTGACACTGGATATCACTTAGACCTTATGGATACTTTTTATGTACCTAGTATCACTAGAAATTTAGTTTCTTTGTCTAAGCTTGATGTTGCTGGATACTCTTTTAAGTTTGGGAATGGTTGTTTCAGTTTATTTAAGCGTACTTGTATGATTGGAACTGGTATACTTTATGATGATTTATATAAATTGAATTTGGATAATTTATATGCTAAAACTTTCATGACCTTACATCATAATGTTGATACTAAACGTAGTTTGGTGGATGAAAGATCTGCTTACTTGTGGCATAAGCATTTGGAACATATTTCCAAGGAAAGAATGCAAAGATTAGTAAAGAATGAAATCCTACCAGATTTAGATTTTACTGATCTGAATATATGTGTGGATTGTATTAAAGGCAAACAAATAAAATACACAAAGAAAAGAGCCACAAGAAGCATTCAACTTCTTGAAATCATACACACTGATATATGTGGTCAATTTGATGTAAATCTTTTAATAAAGATAAGTATTCATCACCTTCATTGAAGATTTCTCGCATTATGGATATGCATATTTACTACATGAGAAATCTCAAGCAGTTAATGTCTTGGAAGTTTATATAAATGAAGTGGAGAGACAATTAGACAAAAAGGTAAAAATTGTCAGGTCAGATAGAGGTGATGAGTATTATGGAAGATATGATGAAAGTGGATAACACCCTGGTCTGTTTGCTAATTTCCTTGAGAAGTGTGGTATTTGTGCTCAATACACAATGCCAGACACACTGCAACAAAATGGTGTGTCTGAAAGGCGTAATCGAACCTTAATGGATATGGTTAGGAGCATGTTAAGTAATTCATGTTTACCTATATCGTTATGGATGTATGTTTTGAAGACTGTCATGTATTTGTTGAACAGGATTCCTAGTAAAGCGGTTCAAAAGACTCCTTTTGAGTTATGGACAAGTAGGAAACTCAGTTTGAGACACCTACATATTTGGGGTTGTCAGACAGAAGTAAGAATTTATAATCCGCAAGAAAAGAAATTGGATGCAAGAATAATAAGTGGATATTTCATTGGTTATCCAGAAAAATCAAAAGGGTATATGTTTTATTGTCCTACCCATAGTACAAGAATTGTTGAAACTGGAAATGCTCGGTTCATTGAAAATGGTGAAACTAGTGGGAGTGAAGCTTCACGAAATGTGGAGATTAAGAAAGTTAGAGTACAAGTTCTTGTAACTAGTACATCTTCTTCAAGAGTTGTTGTTCCACATGTTGTAGAATTACACGACAATCAAGAGGAACAACAAATTAATGATCCCAAGATTCACAATGAGTTGATAATAGAATAACCACAAGAAATAGTATTAAGAAGATTTCACAAAGAAAGAAAGTATGCTATTTCAAATGATTACATGATTTATCTACAAGAGTCAGAAAATAACCGAAGTATTGATAATGACGCAGTTTCATTTTTATAAGCCATTAATGGTGATAATTATGATAAATAGTTAGATGCTATGAAAGATGAACTTAAATTAATGGCACATAATGGTGTATGGGATCTTGTGGAATTACCAGAAGGATGCAAGAGTGTTGGGTGTAAATGGGTCTTTAAGACTAAGCGTGACTCTCATGGAAATATCGAACGTTACAAGGTCCGACTTGTTGCCAAAGGTTTTACTTAGAAAGATGACATTTATTATAAGGAAACATTTTCACCTATTTCTAAGAAAGATTCCTTTAGAATTATCATGACATTAATAGCTCATTATGATCTTGAGTTGCATCAAATGGATGCTAAAACTGCATTTTTGAATAAAGATTTAGAGGAAGATGTTTATATGGATCAACCGGTTGGGTTTATTGAAGAAGGTAGAGAGCACATGGTGTGTAAACTTAAGAAATCAATATATGGACTTAAACAAGCTTCTCAACAATGGTATCTTAAGTTCAATGATACTATTATATCCTTTGGATTTAAGGAAAACATTGTTGATCAGTATATATATCTGAAGGTCAGTGGGAGCAAATTTATATTTTTGATTCTGTATGTTGATGATATCTTACTTACGACTAATGATCTTGGTCTATTAATTGAGACTAAGAAATTTCTCTCTAACAACTTTGAAATGAAAGATATGGGTGAGGCATACTATGTGATAGGAATATAAATATTTCGTGATAGATCACAAATACCGTTAGGTTTGTCTCAGAAAACATATATTAATAGAATTTTAGAGAGATTCAGAATGTAGAAGTATTCAACATCTTCCACTCCAATATAGAAAGGAGACAAATTTAGTCTCATGCAATATCCAAAGAATAACTTGAAACAGAAACAGATGGAAAATATCCCTTATGCATCTGTTGTTGGGAGTTTGATGTATGCTCAAACATGTATGAGGTCAGATATTAGCTTTGCAGTTGGTATGCTGGGTAGATACCAGAGTAATCCTAGATTGGATCATTGGAAGACTGGAAAGAAAGTCTTAAGATACTTACAAGGAATAAAGAATCACATGCTTACTTATAGGAAAGCTAATCACCTTGAGGTGATTGGATATATAAATTCAGATTTTGCTGGTTGTATGGATACACAAAAGTTTACATTTGGTTATGTGTATCTTTTAGCCGGAGGAGCGATTTTATGGAAAAGTGCGAAATAGTCTGTCATTGCTGCATCCACCATGGAAGCTGAATTTGTGGCATGCTTTGAGGTCACAATTCAAGCTAATTGGTTGCAAAATTTTATTTTAGGACTTGGAGTAGTCGATAGCATTGTCAAACCGCTGAAAATTTATTGTGATAATTCTGCAACAATCTTTTTTTCTAAGAACAACAAGTATTCCAAAGGAGTTAAGCATATGTAATTGAAATACTTTGTCGTTAAAGAAGAAGATCAGAAACGTACAGTGTTAATAGAACATATTATTACTGATCTTATGATTGTTGATCCTTTAATAAAAGGATTACCGCCCAAATTATTTGTTGGTCATATAATGAATGTGGGCATTATGTTTACTAGCGAATGTTAATATTATCATTAATGCTTATGTGACACTATAAAATCTTTAATAAGTTTCTGAAATTTGTGTTTTTTTATTTATTTATATGCAAAAATTATGATGAAGAAAACAAATTATGTTATTATTATTAAGATGATATTATGTTTGAACCCGTTATGGACTTCTCATTATAAAGTCATATTAAGGAAAAAGAGATAATATAGTGATATTTGAAAATGAGTATATCGATTAAATGATATGTAACCGCCATGACTTTTGTTATAGTTGTATTTTTAATTATGATTAATGATATAATCAATTTATGTAAGGTCATTTAATGCGCATTATAACTTAAGTATTAAATCACATCGTATGACATCACATAAGTCAAGTGAGAGAATGTTAGAATTAATTTAATTAATTCATTTCATTATGTGACTTATGTGAAATATAATGATGGACCCAAATGTGATTTAATAAAATATAAGGACCTATTAGTTATTATGTGAAGTCAGAATAAAATAAAGATAAAATAAAATAAAAATTTAAAGTAATCAACTTGATGGACGTGAGTTAATGAAAGATGATTGATGTTCTGTCTCTGACCATAAGATCTTTTTCACAATAAACCATTAAAAAAGTGTGAATGAGAAAGTAAGACAAATAAATAGATTGAGAAAAAGATGGTAGAGTTAAAGAACAAACTCCGATAGTTCAAAGTTAATATTGTTATTATGATTTATGTATATTATATTATGAAAATAAATAATATAAAGATCCTATATAATAATTTTTTAGAATGAACTAACTTAGTAAAATTACAAATTAAGTTATACAATCACCTCTCTGTGCAGGATATACTATACGAGTAAGAGGGGATGGGGTCTTAGATGTGAGTTTGTAAACAAAGGTTTTTGTGCAAAAATTGGAATTTAAAAGTTGAAACTTGAATTCTCGAAAATCATATATTATCAATATCTATACACAGTCCCAATATATTTCTAAAATTAAATAAAAACTATCCAAAAATATGTTTAATATCAAAATATTACAAGTAGTTCTTAATTATCTTCTCATTATTATTATTTTTTCAACCAACTCTTAAATTAATTTTATTCAACATTCAACGGAACCAAGAGTACGTAACTTACAGATTATAAATAAACATATCCAACACATCTTTCCATTAAATTACTTATTTATCCCATTCACATGCTTGCCACTTTCTCCAGCTCCTGAAATTTAACACCTTTTTAAAACATGACTTTGATTATGAATATATATTACATAAAAACCTGATTCTCGAATCACGTAAAACCAAACCCAGATTACCTACATGAAGGAAATTTCACAGAAAACGTACATTCTTTAACTCATTATGACCAGGCTTGCCCTGAAGAAGTCTTCCATTAATATTATATATATATATATATATATATATATATATATATATATATATATATATATATATATATATATATATATATATATATATATATATATATATATATATATATATATATATATATGGAAGCTTGAAGGAAAAAAAAATGCATGGTCCTTATTATTTCCATTTGATAAAATGAATATCTCAAGATAAAATATTTGAACAATGGATGGAATGTCAGTACGAACAAGCATGGTGGGGCGAAATGAAAGGCATGATGGGCGTAATTGGATGGAAGATAAGAGAGGGTCTCTAATGGTGGTGGCCACAGTTATTGCAACCATGACTTTCCAAATTGCCATAAACCCTCCAGGGGGTGTTTGGCAAGCAAAAACAGATGACCAACAAGGTTGTGAAGCTGGTAAAATCTGCCAAGCAGGTACTTCAGTCTTAGCCTTTAGTAGCAGCAACCAAAGGTTAAAATATGAGATATTCATACTGTTATGCACCATATCTTTCTCTGCATCTCTCACCACAATCATACTACTTCTCTGTGGAGTTTCCCTCCGTAACAAGTTTATCATGTGGTTCTTCACCATTGTTTTGTCCATCTCAGTAATTTGCACTGCGGGAGCGTACGCCATTTGTATTTGGATGATATTGAATCCTCTTAACAAACTTGTTGGACGCATCACCCTTTATTATGCACTGTTTTGGGGAGGGTTTACTGTGTTGATATGTGTGGCGATCTTCTGTCGCCTTGCTTTTTGGATTCTCAAGAGTTTCTTCCGCTTCTTGTGTTGCCGCCGCAAGAATATCACAGGATCTGTTTGAGCTTGTTTGTTTAAATTTATAGTAATAATTTTATTTATACTGCATAATAGAGTAGATTTGTAGGGAAAAGTTTGCTTGTGTGTATGGAAGTAAATAAACAAGTGATGAAATGATCTATAGCAATTTTTATATTTGCAATCAAAGTTTAAATTTATCTTCTTCCATGATTTTTCATTATTGTCACCTAATTTTAGGGAAAGTAACGCTGTTAATAAATTAGTTAATTATGATTTAAATAATGAAGACATTTTATTTGATGGGACAATATTACAGGGATTTAAAGAAACACCGTGGAAGAAAAAAATATTACAGGGATTTTATTTGATGACTATCGTAACCTTGTATGGTCCATTACATGTCTCCACTGATCCCATTTGTGATCCTATGTGATCCATTGTATAATCTTCATTGACCAAATCTGTGATCATAAAAGTGATCCTTTACGAAAACCTAAGCATAGATCCTTCAATAATATTCTAATTGACGTGTAAGTTACAATGCTTTATTATTGAATTCAAGGTTTTTGTGTCAGCCCATGTGTGAGGTATCAATAGCCCAAGACAAATAGAAAATTAATTTCAAAAATCTTCAAAGCATTTGACAGTAGAAATCAACGATTGTTAAAAATACAAAACATGCAGTTAACTTAAAAATTGTTTAATAAGTAGTGTTTCTGAACCAATGTACAAGGTTGAATCTAAATTGCGTTCGGGATCAAAGTGCTAAGCTTCAATGCTTTGATCTTAGGACAGGAGGGCTATACAATACTAAAGGTTAACGTCAAACTTATTCAGGCTAGAGTAATTCAAGAATCATTGATATCTTAAAAACTTTAACAAGTTTTTTAGCATCAATGTCTTCATCTCAAGGCTAAAGGGTGTAGAATAATTAGACTTTTATTGACTTAGGAGGTCGGTATGAAACCGACTGACCAACTTTCTCTTCTAGATATCATATCTGCCTAAAATTTTGTTTAAAATAAAGAATTATTACCACAAATCTCGTGGTAGAAGAATTAAGCTCATATGACGTTAAATTGTTAGGGTCCAAGCCCATCAGGACTGGAACATAGATGAATTAACTCAATAAATAAAACCTTTAGGTTTTAAGTGGGTTTTTACTAAATGTGAACTAGCTAAAGTCTTAGCTATTTTTTACTAGAATACTTTGATAATTATTTTTCTTTTGCACAACTCATTAGTAATGAGACTATTAAGTCATGATATTAATATTGAAGATTACAATATTAAAATAATGTTATTAATGATTTTGAGTATAAAAAGATAAGACAACAAGTGAGACACGAAGAACAAAATTTAGAAAATAAATTTTCTTCTCAAAATGAAAATGAAAAGGAAAAAGAAAAATATCTTGAATGCAGAAAGCGTCCCACAAGTTCCTTCTATGATACATGATAAATATATATAATTTAAGAAGAAAACTTATCAGTTTGTTCTTTCATTCCACATATTAATTCAAGTAAATCTTATCCCTTAATATATTACTTAAGTTGTGATAATTTTTATTTGAAGTATTATAGGTTTCTTCTTATAGTAATTATAAAGATAAAACTAATAAATTATTTAGAGAGAACAAAAAATTGATCATTGAGACAAAAAATACAAGTACATAAAAGACAATCAAATTTAGATAGAATGTCTTTTATAAAAAATAAGAAGACATTGAAATGCAAATAAATCTATAAGATTAAATGAAATTTGGATGGAATTATGAAACATTTTAAAGTTTGATTAGTTATAGTTAGAAATTATTTAGAGGAAGGAGTTATATATATATATATATATATATATATATATATATATATATATATATATTATTTTTTTGGAATAATTGAAATATTTTTTGGAGAGGGAGAATTAACATCTTCCTATGTTAAAAGGAAGTATGTTGTAGAAATAATTTGTGAAATTGTTTTTATACTAAAGAAATGAAATCATCATCTGGATCTTGTCAATGATGAATTTCTTTTCCATCCTTGTCAATATAGATATTTGGTTAATTGACATATTAGATTAGGCGGATGCTCTTTCACAATTTATGCAGTACTCACGCATAGAATATTGAAAAACTACTCATTTAATTATTCGATATTTGAAGTAAATCTTGAACAAAAGATTATTTTGTACAGTTTTAACAATTTGAAATTTCATGAATGATATGATGCAAATTAGGTGTCATGTCTTTTCACTGGTAAATCTTTGACTAGTTGGATTATTTTCTTAAAAAATTTCTCCCTTTTCTTAAAGACAAAAAATAACATATAATATCCTATTCTAACTAAAGCTGAAAACCTTGAAAATTTTTCTCTTCAACTTTGGTATTTTATAATAATAAACTTTTTTACGTAATTAAATTTAAGAATAATATGATACAATATTATATATATATATATATATATATATATATATATATATATATTTAAGACATTAAATATAAAAAAATTAATAAAAAAACATTTCTTTAAAATTTATTAACTTCTCATTTAATTGATAAAAAAGTATAAATAGAATAACATACTTTATATCTACATCTAAATGACATATAATTAGAAATATGAACCTATGACACTCTGCTACTCAAATTCCAAAGTTCAAAACTACAAAACATATATACCAAACCAACCTCTAAAGTTGAAAAATGAAACCTATTTACATAACGTGTACATTGAAAGTCATGCTTACATGCATGCTTGATTATTTATGACTAACATTACACAATAACCTAAAGCAGTGCAGGAGTAAAAGAATAAGTTTGACATGCGATGCATGAGGATAACTAGATTGGTGGATTTTGATGTACTTTACTTTGTCTGTAGATGCATTTAGTGAGAATCCAAACAAATAGGCGCAGGGAAAGGAAGATTGCGATGAGTGCCAACAGTACCAACCACACTACAATAACCCGTCCGAACATGGTTAATATATTATCCCAAAGCAGATCAGGGACAACCATTTGTGTGCCGAACAAGTAGGTTAGAGAGAGGGTGCTGAGGATGACGCACATCCCTATTGACAAGAGCCACATGAAAAAACGGTTTTTCAGAGGAAATCCACTCACGAGCAAGAGACAAACAGCTAAAGATGAAACGAAGCATATCGTGTTGCAGTAAAGGAAATATTTATAATCAAGTGGATAAACCATAGCAAGAACAGATTGTCCAGGACATGAATTATTTTGGCATTCGACTCCACTGTCTTTTGGAGGCAAAACGCCACCTGGTGGATGAATAGCACTTTGAAAGGTCATGGTTGCGATTACTGTCGCCATCAAACTCAGCATTCCTCTCATATCCTTCAACCATTCATTCTTGTCCTTGTGTGCCATCCAATTCCCTACACTTTTCAAAGCTTTTCTCCACCCTTTCATCTTTTCCCCCGACTCTCTTCCAATATTGCTTGCCATAGCTGATAGATGTTTTCTACCAAGCTGGCATCAATGAAATTAACCGGTTAATTTGCATGTCACAGTTTAATTTTTAAAGAATTTAAGACGATAAAATCCAACTTAGTACTTACTCTGACTCTCAAGGAAAGAAGAAATATTCTTGCAAAATGAATTGCTCAAGTGAACGATGAAATGAAGCAAGGCAAGGCAGGTGTATTTACTTGCAAAATCAGTAATAAATCTGAAAATATAAAGGGTGATAGTGGGAATTTTCTTTATTATGTAAATTGAAAATTGACTTAGAAAAACATGTTTTGCTCACACTTGTTTTTGTATAATAAATTACTGAGCAGATATGTATATATAATATAACTTCTTCGGCGGCAAGACGGTGATATAATGAGTTAAAAATGTATATTTTTTGTGCAGTCTCAGTCACGTAGAAAGTTCTGAGTTTGTTTCCACTTGACATGATTGGTGAGTCAGAGTTTTGACGCAATAATCACACACCTACATAAGAGCCTGCATCCCCTCCCACTGTCTTATTAGACTTCATTGCAGTTTTGTGAATGTTCGTAGAAGGTGACAGGTCAGACAAACATTCGGGAGTTTCGATGAAGTTCTAGGGTTGGAAAAATGTACCAATGTTTCCGTTGTATCTGTGCAAATGTTGCTCTCGATTTGAAGAAACAATCATATTTTTTCTTTTATTATTAAATACTAATAATCAATATATTAGTTTTTATTAATTTTGCAATATATCTGATGATTTTCGTCGACGACGTTTGGTGTAGATAAGTAAGGCTGGCAGCGGAAAACTTAATATTTGTTTTATTTTATAATTTTTTAAAATAATTTTAATAAGTAATCTTAAAGAATTAATTTTAAAGAATTAATTTAGAAAATTAGTTGATTAAAATATTTATCTCATATTTCTAATTTAAAAATTATTTTATATTAAAAAGGATTACATCATTTTAAGTCAGAAATTGGAGATGACTTTAATAATTTCATGAAAATAAAATTAAAAAAATTATATAATAATTATCATACATATTCATATTTAGAATAATTAAAATATTTTATTTAATTTTCATATAATATTAATTACTCCATTAAATTTTTAATAATTACAAATAAATAAATAATTAGTTTATGTCACCAAGACTATTGTGTGATGAATATACTAATAAGATCATGATTAATAGCATATGTGTATATCACGGAATTTTAGTGAATTTTATATAATATGTAGATAATAATTTATATATATAATAATTAAAACTTTAAAATTAAATAATTTTTTTAAATATAAAAAAATTTAACTCTATATTTTTTCTCAATAATAATAATAATAATAATAAATATTATTTTTATTCTCTTGTACAATTTTTCTTTAATTTTCTTTTTTCTTATGATTTATCTTCATATTTTTTATTTTACTTTTTTATATTTTCACTTTTTCTACTTTTTTTTATCAATATTTTTTTCTTTTTCCAGTTCTATAATTTCTTTTTTCTCGTTTATCTTACAATATACAAATTCTGAGCTTTTATTTATAAGGAGATTAAATTTTTACATACATGTCCAAGATG